GGTGCCACGGAGATTCTAGCCGGGTTCTAGAGACCTAAATACCACTCTTTACAAATCTTGCTTGGTGGTATTAAGGGTAGATCATCTACCTTACGGGTTCTTTAGAAGTGTAAATACTGGTATTATGCTTAATACCGGTATTATAAAGAGTGGTGTTACCTAAACCCAGCCGCAGGGTGGATTTAGGGTGGATAATCTACCTTACATACCGGTATTAGTTTGGTTTGGTTAGATTTTGTGAAAAAAGAAAATAACAATAATAAACAAATATTTGTGCTGTAATCACAGTCAAATTTGTTATTATTATTACTAAAATATTCTAACAATATATTGTGTATAAATTAATTTTTAAATTTCAGATACATGTCTCGTAATAATTATTTTGAAGATTCAGTGAGAATTGTAGGACTTGTGTCAAAACTTCCTACAATCAATGATCCCGTTGAAGGTTATTATCAGGGGCGGACATAAGGTTTCTGTAGGGGGGGATAAATATTGAATTCAAGTATAAGTGTAATATTTTAGCATATCAAATTATCAACATATATATCTAGACCCAACCAAAAGAACGTTTTGGCCGGAGATGCAGATATCCAATCTGCGGCGGATAGTCGAGGAAATCGACAATGGGAAGCTGAAGAAGCTTCTGGCCCAGCCCACAGCCATGCAGGTAATATTGACTGGACTCGTTATGAACACAACTATTATAAACAACGGTTTTTGTAAACCCCCCCCCCCCCCTAGGAAATTACTTGTTCTTCTTCAAATACTATTCACTAAACAAAAAAACACGGATACATTGAAGTGAATAATTCTTTAAAACATATGAATATATATATTGAAAAACTCTAGTTAGAATTATTATTAGGCAAAAATGATAATTTCTGGGTTTTTAATGTCCAAAAGTATTAAAAGTTTTTGTAAAACGAATCTAGCAATTGACCATCGTTATATTTAAGCCTACAGGAATTTACACAAAGAATAGGAGTTCAGAACAGATTTAAACTCTACAATAAAATAATTACATAATTTTTTGACTAAATTCAACTTAATTTGATTAGGAATTAAAATGTTATAGACGAAGCAGAGTCGGCTCCTGAACGCGTATTGGCAATGGGTTTACGTGGAGTTTTGCTCCGTCTCCATCCCTGCCGGGTTCCATACCTCATTCAAAAAAATGAGAAATAAAATTAAAAAGGAAGGATTTATGATTTTTTATGGATTATTCGTTGAATTGGGGTAAATAACTGATGTGCTGGAATTTTTGGAGGGAAAATATCAAACAGGATAAATAAACATTTGTCTGGAGTTGTATTCCAAACAAAATTGACTCATTAAAAAACCCGTATTTTTAGTTTTTATTTATGTTTTATTTTATTTTGTAGTTTGAGTACTACCCCTGGAGTAAAACAGTTTAGGATTGAGTTGGCAAACAGAAACATTGAAAATATTCTGAATGAAGATGGAAGCCGGCAGAGGAGACAACAGAAGGAGGCCCGGAGAACAGGTGGAGGGCCTCCTGTTCCTCCTGTTCCAGAACTGGACCCTGAGGTCTTCAGGTAACATTTTTTTTTCATGTTTCTTTTGTTATTTACACATTTTTATCTTCACTCTAATATTTTTATTGTGGGGGGGGGGGGGAGCTTGCAAAAACTGATGTAAATTCATATATAAATTTAACTGGTCTGACTGTTCGTTTGTTTTTCTGTTTCTGTCCAATAAACGTCATAAAAAATTGTGTTTAAAATTTCTTTATTTTCGTGAAAGGGGAGGGTATCTTTTATCAGTTTGAATACATTTTGGACTCCTGTCTTCATTTTGAAGGAATCTGAATCAAATTTATTTTACTTCAATGTGTAAAATTTCATTCGGATTCCTCAAAAATTAAGGCAGTAGTCATTTTGGTCAAAGATAATAAATAATTTGAAAATCTGCAATTTTTTGTTATGAATTTTTCAAACAAAATTCGATTTCCTATAAATTTTTAAAATCCACGAAATTTTTTGCATGAAATCTGCGATTTTTTGTTTTAAAGTGTACACAAAGAGAACATGTTCACAATTTAAATAGAAGATGGGCGCGAAGCGCACCAAAAGCCTAGTATGAATAAATCTGATATTTTGAAAATTATGCAATTCTATTAAAGTTGTTTTTATAGGTCTGATGTGAACATCAGTAATAAATTTGGTCCAATGAACATTGGAGATACATTTCGCAGTGGACCCTTAAGCCTGAACCTTGAAGTTGAACTAGGGAGGGGGTGCAGAGGCGCCATGATCCCCGCAAAAATGATCTCCGAACCTCAGGATTTGCAGAATTACCTCCAGGCCCCGCAAAACTGTGAGACCAGTTTTGCGGGGCCGGGAGGTAATTCTGCAAATCCTGAGGTTCGGAGATCATTTTTGCGGGGATCATGGCGCCTCTGCACCCCCTCCCTCGTTGAACATGAGGAGGAGATTGAGTCCTCCCAAGATATCCAGGATACCCAGGAGGAGGAGGAGGAGGAGCATGACTTGCTGAGCTCAGCAATTTCTGAAGGAAATTTTTCATTACATTCATAATTTGTAAACAAATTGGTTTTGCCCATGAAAATTTTAGAATTTTGAATAAATTAATTGAAATTTTAAATAAAGAAATTAAAATTTTAAAAAACAAAATTGAAATTTTGAAAATTAGATTTTTTTAAATACTGCACATTTCATATAGTAAATATATGTGTGTGAAGAGCTTACGTTGTCATTCCTGTTTTTAACCTTGAAGTAGCTAAATTCTTAATAAAATTTGTTTAGTGATGAGCAGCCTCCTCAACCTTCTCTCCCTTCTCTCTCTTTTCCTTCTCTCTCTCCCCCTATTTGTTCCTCTACTTTTACAAATGCTGCCACTACTCTTACTAACTACACTCTCACTCATCCCTCTTCTACAATCATTTGTCCTTCTTCTTCATCTTCACTCACTTGTCCTTCTCCTTCTTCTACACTCAATCATTTTGCCTCTACACTCACACATCCTTCTCCTTCCTTTACTCTTAATCAGGTTTCCGCCACTCTCACTCGCCCTCCTCCTTCCTCTACATTCACTTTTCCTTCCTCTACTCTCACTCGTCCTTCCTCTACTCTCACTTCTCCTTCCTCTACTCTCACTTCTCCTTCTTCTACTCTTACTCCTCCTTCTTCTTCTCTTACTCGTCCTTCTTCTTGTACTCATCCTTCTTCTCTCACTCGTCCTTTTTCTCTCACTTTTCCAGTTTCCTCCTCTACCTTCACTTCTTCCGTATCTTTTCATCAGACTCATCCTTCTCTATCCTCTGCTCAAACTCATCATTCCTCAAGTCAGCGTACAACCACAGCTGCAACAGCTGCCACCGAGCTGGCTATCCAGCAAGCTGCTGAAAGGATAGGCCAAAGGTTCGATTAGTTTTATCTTTCCATAAATTATTTGAAGTTGTTAATCTTCACATTAGTTTAATCTTTAATCGATTTCTCAATTATTAATCTTCAGATTAGTAATTAATCTCTAATAAACTATTTGAAGTTTTCAACTAATCAAAATATATTTTGTATTTTTTTTAGAGACGATCGATCTGAAGCTCAAGTTGAGGTTCTGAAAGCTCAGGCTGAGCTTTATAAAGAACAAACCAGAAGAGAACATTCTCTTAGGCTCCAGGAGTCGGAGTTGCATAATCTAAAAGTGCAACATGAAAAGGAGCTCCACAATAAAAAAAAATTCAATTTTTTGATACAATGATGGATGTCCTGAAGGTTAAAATTTTGATCAGAAAACAAATTGTTTTTTTTTTCATAAAACAGTTTTCTCTACACACTATTTTTTTCCGATGGAGTTTTTGTTTTCAATCAATAATTTTTTAAAAACAATATTTCACCATCATTAGTTCATTTAGTGAGGTTTTCAATTTCAAATTTTTATTTGCGTCAAAATTTTACCCTTTCAGGACAAATCGGACACCCGCAAGCTACCTAATATTAACATGTAATCAAATTTTTTTGTAAAAAAACATAAAATCAAAAAAAAACATTAAAACCAAAAAAACTCAAAAAAAATTCTATGTAAAACTTTTTTCATCCATAAACTTCAAACGCAATAGTACCTCTTCCTTAACCAAAACTGCACTAAAAATCCCACAAGTGCAGTTATCCACCATTTACTTTACATTAGAGTAGGTTGTTGTTAACAAAATTCATGAGCACAAATTTATATCAAAAATGTTAATTATGTAAAAACCAAATTTACTCTACATTCGAAGAACAGTAATTTCTAAACCTTATATCTTTGCATCCTGATGATGGAAACCTATGATATTTTAAACTTAAATTATTTGATTCCTAGTTTTAAATTTCTAAGATATACGACATTGGATTAATTGTGAATTATGTAAAAATGAAATTTACTCTAAATTAGAAGAACATCAAATTACAATTCATGAACATCAAATTACATTAGAAATTATTCTTTATAAGAATAGGTCGTTGTAAACAGAATTTGTAAACATTTTAAAAATGTTAATTGTGTAAAGATCAAATTTACTCTACATTAGAGGAGTTCATTGTTAACAGAATTTAAATCTTTGTGAAATGTAATTAATGTAAATGTTAAATTTTCCATTCATAAAATAAGCTCTAAATTAATTACTTTCCCATAAACTTTTGTCACCCTCTTAAAAAACTCTGGTACAGTAATAACCTGAAAACTTTGAAATAGGAAGACAACTTTTATAATTAAGTTAAAACTTTAAATGTGCAGTGTAAACAGACCCATATGACAAAATACACTTCAGTGCTGTTCAAATGTTGAATTCCTATTCCTTTGTTTTTTGATTATGATGATGGAAAATGATAATTTGTATTTTCTCTCTATCTTAATAAACAATATTCGACAGCGTGGGGAAAATTGGGACAATGCTGCCTCATTAAAAACCCCACCTTTATTAAGGAAATAGACTAAACAATAAAGTTAGTGTTGAGCACGGCGCCGAGCACGTCGGCAAGCTTCAGCTTCTACACCATGCCGAGCCATCTTCTCCAACTCTTTACGGGTTGGATTACTATCCATGCTCATTCTCCAATTGTCCCTGGCGTTCATGCATTGCTCCCGCCTTTCTCTCACACTCAGCATGTTAATGATGTGCAGCTGATCCTGAGGAACATCCAGATCATCATCATCATCATCATCATCATCATCATTAGGATGATGATCATTGGGAACATCGTCTTTCCAATCAAGAGCAATATTGTGTAGGACTGCACATGCCTGCACAATAAGAATGGCATTTGGTAAATCATTTCGGATGTGTTTAATGATTGGGAAACGACGCTTCAGAATCCCATAGATGCACTCAGTCATCTCTACCCTAGCTTGGGAATGCCTTACATTAAACAAACACTTACTGTTGTCATCCCTAAAACAAAAATTTTAATTATAAGTATTGTTTTAAAACAAAAACATTTAAAATTCAAAACTTCTGTGCAAAAAATTATTTTCAGCAGAGTGGGGGAGGGGGCTGGGCGATTTTTTCTGCGAAATAAACACTACTGATTTTAATATTTTATTTATTTTTCACCTGGACTGTTCCTCAGGATAGGGAGTCATGAGGACATCCGTTTGAGGATACGCACTGTCCCCGAGCATGATCCTCTGGGGAAATCTTGTCTCTAGCCATGCCTTTGCATTTGACATTGACCAGACCGCTGCGTCATGGAAGGAACCAGGGGCAGAGAGGAGAATATCATAAATTCTCCGGTTGAATCCTCCAACAATTTGAGAATTTATTGAATAAACGTTTTTCCTGTTGATAAAATCCTTAGAATTCTTCTCAGCCAGAATCCTTCTGGGTTTTTCGAGGAACGGGATGTGGCACCCGTCCACCCCCGTGATGACGTTGGTCAGCTTGTACTTATCAAAAACAGCAGAGATGTTCTCCCTCTGCTGCTCCTGTGTTGGCATATACAGGAACTGCCCCCGTACATTATCATTCAACAAAGCTTGCACAAATCTAAAAACATTTCGTTTATGATTATGAATTTATAATTCAACCATGAGTATTTGTTCTACTGTTTCAAATTAAATTTCAAACTGTTTTTTCGTTATACATCTAGTATAGTGGATATTGAAAATAGTGCATATTGAAAATACCTTTTCAATGCTGTCCATGCAGTGGTTTTGGAGACTCCGGAACCATAACTTGCACAGCGGAAGTATTGATCTCCGGCAAGGATCTCCAGAGCCACACACACAATCTGCTCCGCACTAACAGGGAGCCCCCTGTTAGTCTCAGACAGGTTGAGATACGGGGACACTAGGTCCACAATTCTCAAGAGGTTTTCCCTATTGAACCGGAACCTAAAAATCAATATACTTTTTATTTACGTAAATCTTACTACATCTCTCTATATAATATATTAGCTAGAATAACCGGCGTCGCCAGTGTTTAAAAAAAAGAAAATTAAATATTTTTGGCCAATGTTAGTTTTGAATACCCCTTGGGTTCCCTGTAAAAAATGTCAGCCCATTTGGCCCAGACGCTTGGCCAACTATAGGTGTCATATTTATATAGGAGCATTATTGTATATACAGGGTGTCCCACGAAACATGACAATTGGTGAACAGTTTTGAATGTCTTCCTCAATATGGTGTCTTAGATATTAAAGACTTTTTTTTTGTATTTCATTTTGTTAAAAAAATCTTTTATTCAAATAAATTTTAGGTTGAAATAAATTTTACTTATGTACAATATTTTTTTTATTCTCTTTCGTATCAAACAACTTACCAAATTATGGAAGAAGACATTTTAAACCATTCACCTACTGTCATGTTTCGTGGGACACCCTGTAACTGAAATGCCCGGCGGTACCTGGTAAAAGAACTTGATTTTCAACCAACAATTTTGTACTTAATGCATATTTCTTTTAAATTATAATGGGTTGATTAATTAAATATTTACAATCCTTACCTAGATTTGAACTCTCGTTCGTTTTGAATATAGTTTAGATGATCAACTCTGTTCCTTCTCCTAGATATTAAGGAATGAACACCCTTAAGTTATTGGATCACTTTTTATAACGCTTTAGCATATATAGCAGCAATGTGTTTTATGATTTAGGGGGATGGGGTACTTTTTAAAATCAACTTACCACACAGGAGCTCTCCTTTGAACATCTAAAACATTAGATCTCATGAGCATCTCATGTAGCTCTCTAAGATCGTTAAGATCGTTAAGATTGTTAAGTTCATTTTCACGGATAGCATCAACGGTATCCATAACTTGTCTGAAAATTTTATATTTAAATAATCACTTTTAGACAATTTGGGACGCAAACAAAAGGATGAAAATAAGAAAAACACCTACAAAATCTTAAATAAAACCAGATCTTATCATTAAATGGTACTTGAATAGAAAAAGTCGTCTTAGTTTTGATCAAATACTGCTAACACTGGTTTGAGCATGCGCAGAAACTCACAGTATGGATGATAATACTGGTATTAGCACAGATTTCAAAGGATGACTAAAGAATCCATATCCTGTTCTATGCTAGATAATCCTACCCCGAATTAGGAAGCATTTGTGTCTAAAGAATCCGTATTTCCTAAACACTGGTATTAGCTTTAAGAGTGGTATAAGAGCGGTATTAGCTAATACCGCTCTTATACCACTCTTAAGAGTCATGTTTCTAGAACCGGCCATCTCAGTATATTACGCGGTAAATCATCCCCTTCGGTCGGTTAGTACGTTTCAGTGCTAGAAATAAATTTAAAATTATTTGTGAATTGAAAATACAGTGAGTTATAACTCTTGCAGAAGAATGGAGGAGGGGGATAGTGACGTCGACTGCAATCCCACTAATTTAAACGGGAAAAGAAGAATAAGGTAAACTGCCAGGTCTGCCAGTATCCAAATTTTAGGCTGGGCTCTGCAGCCACACCTGTATAAAAGTTGCTTGTCATATTATAGGTATTAATTCAGAAATAAAGGGAAGGTCAAAGGATTATATAGACTCGCAGTATATTTTTTAACACTCAATTTTGCCAAAAATGAAAGTTGCTCTTATTATTTTGACGAGAAAATTTAGAAGTTCCTGACGAACAAGACATGTAGTGTGTGGGGGTGCGCGACACGATCCAACAAGTATTTTGGATTTAGGATTTTTTGGGATTAAATTGACTATTTTTATGACGGATAATGTAAAAAACCTGTATTGCCATGGCAGTGTCCTGCATGGGGCAGACTCGACCCCTAAAATTTTGTAAAGGGGTCAGTCAGTTATAATACATGTGGGGGTTCCTGTTTTCATTTTTAAAGGAACCTTGCTGAAATTTTGCATATGGACATCATTTGTGTTTGTAAAACGATATTTTTTAACAGATTTTTAAATAATTTTTTCATTTTTTCATAAAACATATAATAGCAAAAAATCAAAACCCTTAGTCAACTGCCTGACTGACAAATTACGGCCAGAAAAAGTCTTTTTGATGCAATTTTTACTGATATTACTTCAAAAAGACTTTTAGGCAGTAATTAGGCAATTATACAGTTTACTTAAGGCTTTGATTATTTGCTAAAACATGTCTTATGACTGTGAAGAAAAATTCAAAAAATTTGGGGACCCTGCCATTAACAGTTCTAAAAATATCTAAAAAAACAGTAATTTTAGTTAATCTAGTTACGTTTGAGTTTAAACCTGAAAATGCACTTGATATCTACAATTTCTTAAAAATGAGATTATAACTCAGAAGACTGCATATAAATATATTATATTTCAAAGAAAAGCCTGATGGTCCATTTACAGCAGTGTTAGAAGCTTTAAAAATATGGAAGAAAGTGGGGAAAAATCTATTTTATTTTACTTTAAACAAACTCAAATGATGCTTATATGCAAAATTGCATTAAGATTCCTCAAAGGAATATGTATACAAATTGGTTAAACTGACTGTCCCCTTTACCGACATTTCTTCTTAGTTGCATTATTAATGGTGAAACTAAATTGATTCACTCTACAGTTTGAGGGAGGTTTACCTTCAATCAACAAAACTAAGTTTTTTTTTTTGTGTTTTCCCCCCTGAATACAACCCCCCACCCCCTCACCCCCTGTTGATAAGTCTTAATATATAACTGGCATGTAAACTTTTTATACTTGTTTTTGTTAGTCAGACATTCAATTTTAACATACATGTATCTGAGCTTCATCATAAATTCTTTTCTAGTTAAGCATGTTACCGCATCACACAGTAATACTGAATTTGGCTAAAAGCTGACTGAAGATTTGAAGATCTGGAACAAATCTAAGAACAAGACTAATACCACTACCAGTTCTAAAAAGGATGCAAATATGAATAAATTTTTCAACAACCCATCGTTAAAGAAGACTCCGGCCAAATATCTAAGTCATGACAGTAGACAAAGGAGCTTCAACAAAACTGTAGCCTTATGGGTGGGGCGATCCATTGTTCCAGCAAGGTTAGTCATATTTTTTTCTAAAAGTAGTCCTGATACTTGAGTAAGACTTCACACAACAATTTGAATTTATATACTGCCTAAAAGTTGACTATTAAAAAAAAGTATGGCAGTTTTGCATAACTCAGGGGTATATAATTTTCTGTTGACATGGTTATTGACCTATCTAAGGCACTAAAATTCTCCATTGAACAAACAAAATCCAAAATATCAAAGTTTGCACAGGCTGCACCACCTGTTTTTAGGTTATGACTTTGGGGGGAAAATANCTTTGGTTCTTTTTGGGGGGGGGGGATATGAATCTCAGAACTAATATACACCCCTGTCATAAGTGGAAATATACTTTCTTGTAGTGTCGTTGACTGCCCTCTCTGCAAAGAAGTAATCCATCAAGCGAATGCTCATTTGGAAATACCATCAAGAAGATCAGTAATGAGAGCAGTTTAGAGTGAAGAAACCAAGGTACTAACTTATTCTTTTAAACCCATTTTGATGAAGATCTAGATCCTGGATTCTGGATCCGCCGTGGAAAAAAGGGATCCAGACCAGGTCCTGAAATTTTTTAAAAATTATTAAAATTTAATCCTTTTTTTGCCAAAACTTATGTACCATTGAGAGATTAGGATGTTTTTATTACCTCTTAATAGTTAACTATTGAAATTTGTGTTTTGAGAGTAAACTTTTTTTAACAGGCTTTCGTTGATATCTTGTCCCTTGAATCCAGATCTGTGCACTTGTAAATTTTGTGGATATGGATCCAGGGAGCAATATGTTGCAGATTTATTTTTAAGTGTCCAACTAAAGTTTTTTTTATTTGATACAAAGTGGACAGAGAAAAGACTTCTGAACAGATTAAATATTTGAACTTATTTTTAATATCTGAACTATTTAAATTAACTATTTTTCCCATTTGATAAACCATGACTAGTCAAAGAATTAGGCTTTTTCAGTTGTAGTGTTGTAGTTAATTTTCTGTAAGATATCCAAATCCAGGTTAAAAAGAGTAGCGGATTATGGATTATGAAACTAAAACATAAAATTCCCTATTAATTGAGGTTTTGATTGGTATCTAATCTAATTCCTGCTACTCATAATTCTGTCTGGATTAATAAAGAAGTGTAAATTCTTAATTTCAATAATTTAGATGAAGACTGAAATCTACAAGCTGACTCAACGTGCTAGGAAAATCAACATAACCTCTGACATTTGGTCACAGAAAGGCTGCACAAATTCTTATTTGGGAGTTACAGCCCACTTCTTCGACCCTGAAAGGAAAGAGTTAATCTACCTAACCCTAGCAGTACGTGATTTTCGTAACCCACATACAGGAGAACGCATTGCTGAGGAATTGTCAAACATCTTGAATGAGTTCGGTGTCTCAGATAATGGCAGTAATATTGTAAAAGCCGCAAGAATGCTAAAGGCAAAAGGGGATAAAGTGCCATTGAAGAAGATCTTCCCTCTGCAATTCACAAATCGAAAGCCATTGATTGTTTTTTTGACGAGGAAGATCTTGAGGATGAGGAAGACGAGGATGAACTACAGATGGTGAATCTGGAAGATATTGACGAGTATGATTCAAGAACAGAGACTATTCAGAAGAACTTTCAGACAATGCTCAACAACCGAATCTGGTGTTTCCGGTAGAATTTTTATGCTGCAGTTAAGCATTTCTAAATAAGGTTGTTAAACTAAGTAAAACTGTAGCGTTTTACTGTAGCAAGATTGGAAGTTAAGTTAGGTTATTAAGAAACCGAAATTAATGGATAGCTGGAAGTGCTTTTAAACTTTTTTTCATCAACTGAAACTGTTGCAGAGGATGTTGTTCAACTACGTCTTATAGCTATTAATTAATTTTTATAAATTTCAATCCAATCCTTGAAAAAAGAAACATTTTTTCTTTTAAAAAAATAGTAAAATGTTTAAATAGTTTTATTCTTTAATATTAATTCTAAAATTTAATCAGGGACATATATATTTTTTTAAACTCCCCCTTACCTCTCAATTTAATTTGTTTCTGAAGTACTGAAGTTTCACATTGGGTTCTCTGTTAGATTTAAACTTTATTTGATTTGATATCCTTTAATCAGGACATAAGAGAAAGTAGATATTTATTGTGATAATTTTTTCATACAGATTTCTAAATAATCTTATTCATGACACTGTTACTAATTAGTTAGCGTAATTTCATGTGACCCTTAAATAACAGTACCTTTAAAAGTTTATTATTAAATTAAATATCAATGTCCATAATGTTGAAAAGTGGTTATTTTCAAATGTGGGTTTTCTACAAAATTTAATTGAATTATTGCTGGAGAACATTGGAATTATCCGAATTAAACACTTTTGAGAAAACTTGGATAAATTTGTTATGAAGTAACTGTTTTAAATCAGGCATTGCAATCTCTGCATGGAGGGTCACTTGAAATTATGCTTTAAATCCCTGAAACTAATTCAAGATGTATATTTTAGTCACTCCATGCAGTTGTGCATCATTTCTGCTCTTCAAAGTGATGTAACCTTTTCAACCGCATTGGCGAAAGCGCAGACAATATCCAGAAAATATTCATGCTCAACAAAAGCCAAGGAAATTCTGAAAAGATGTGGTTTTGGTCAAAGGCTTACTCTGGGTTCTAAGACAAGGTGGTGGTCTGAACTGGAAATGGTTAAGAAGATCATTGGGGCTTATGAGGCTAATGCTGAAATTATTAATAATATAAACACATAAATTTTTCAGCAACAATTTAATGATTTTAAAATCGAACTTGGTAGAATTTAGTTTTTGATGAAATAAATACCCCTCTCATTTTACTTGATTTCTAATGATTGTTCGTTCAGTAGCGTGATTCATCCGGAGCTGTCAGACAAACTCTATGTTGCTGCAACATTTCTCCATCTAGTCTATCACTTGATAGTTGATATTTCATATTTCAAGTTGATATTTCATATTAACCTACTCATCTCGAGACCACTAGTAGCAATCGAATGGCTTCAAACGCACCTGGAGGCTCTGGTCAAGCTGAATCTTCAGCTCCTTTCTTGGATCCGTCTGATAACCTGAAGGAACTCCACAATGTTATGGGAACACGTGCTTTCAACTGGGAGTCCGCCCCCACCTTGGAGTATCCTTGTAACTACTGGATGGAGTTTCGTGAATTCCTTGATCAGTCCGATGCGAGGCGGATTGCCATCCCTTCAGAACCAGCAGATTGGTCTCTTCCTGAGGACCCATTTGTGGCTATCCAGCCAAACACTCCTTGCAAGCTCTGTTCGTTGACAGTGTTAAAGGCACCCTGCCATCTCGAGGGCAACAAGTATGCAGGAGTGATCATGATCTGGCAAATGAGCTATTGGCATCACTCCCAAGTAATGCTTTCGGGAAATTGGATGTAATATCTGTTCGCTGGGATAAATCGTTCGTGGAGCGCATTGCAAGGCCAGTTGGCAAGACGCTGGCTATCGACTCCAGACCCAAGGTCTTCTACACAAACCAAGTACAATTGGTATCGATCCTTACATCTGCTGGGGTGCCAAAGACAACGAAAGTTCTCATGGCTCTCTTGCATATGTATCCATATGTAGAGGATGAGGTCAAGACCCACGCACTGGTAGCGCCTTTCGAGCATGCCCCTGGGATCTACTTAGATGGTTTACAACCATATGAACCTGAGGACGCTCAAGCCAGGGATTCGAGGTATAGGGCAGCAACCCTATGCTATTTGCTTATATCCAGTTACACCCAGGAAGGAAAGTTGGGTGAGCAACTCCACAAAAGATACAGGGCTGCTTGTATGTCGTTGTCTACTGACACCTTAAGTGAGACTGATTTCGCTACAGAGAGAACTGCTCTTGGATTGACTGCAGGTGACACTGCACCCGTTGTGTATCAAGTTCTTGGGGCGGTCCTCGCTCTGGACAAACAGGGGATCTACAATCCATCAGTGAAAGTAGAAGATCTCTTACCGGAGGACCAGTTAGTGGCAGTCAAGGGTGTTTCTCCCTGGGCCGCAACTTGTTTCACCCAAATGAAACTGGTCAATTGGAGGATGAATCTGACCACTTTGGATTTTGCTCTGGATTTGGTCAAAATGCTCAATGCCGAGAACCAAACAATGGTTCGGGAGATGGAAGTCGAGCAGCCCAACATACGTAAGGCAGCAGACATGGTTAAAGACGCTCCCTTCGTGGCGTTACTAGCCAAGCAGCCTGATGCCTTGCAGATATCCAAGTTCCCCTGCACTGCTTTTGTGGGATTAGTTTACTATGGCCAATCTCTGCCAGAAAAAGAAAAAGAGAACTGGGCGAAGTGGATGGAGTGTCCAAGCATGTCGAGGGTGGTACTCCAAAGGATAAGCTTGGAACGAATTGCAGCTTACCTTCCCACTCCTACCTTTGTTGATGCTGTCGAGGCAGCGATCATGAACCAAGGAGAGCGTTTGGATAGCATCCTGAAAGCCTCACCTTCATCCGCAAAACAAGAGTTGTATGAGACCTTGTTTGTAAGGAAAACTACATGCAAATGGTTCCTAGAGGAAAAGGCGTGTCGCGAGCTGGAATACATGAATGTCCTGTACGAAAAGGTTAGCATCTCGGTGAACAAGAGGTACACTGAGCTGGAGGTCATGGCTACAGCCGAAATCATGGGGACAGTAGATCTTCAGGAGAGGTCGAATGAGCAAGCCAAGCTCATGGCCATGAAGGCCAAACTCATGAGTAACCTTCAAAGGATTAATCCTACAGAGTTCTCTATGCCTATTGCTCCATCTGCTGATCTGAAGGAGAAACACGACGCTGCGCTAGAGATCTATAGAGCTCTCATGGAGTCTCTCAACCAATTCACACTTCGTTAAATCGATATCATTTGCCCTAATTGGGAATTAGTCTATTACTTGACCTTGTCAAATGAAGCCAAATCTAGAAAAATGTTTTCAAGCATAAATAATTTTTCTTCATTGTTTTCATTTACTGGTTTATTGCTTAAGTTTTTTTTCTTCATCCAAATTATATATTATGCTTATTTCATAAATAGAGGTAGAGCATGTGTCTAGAATCGATATCCTCAGAGAATCAGGTAAAATGGCCCTCATATTCAATTAATAAAAAAAAAAAATTTTCCCTTAAAACTTGTTTTAATTTTTGAAAAAATGTTACGAAACTTTTATCTAATATTTTATACTTGTTGGCAACTAGCTTTTTTTTGTTAGAGGCTTTATTTCTAGCATGTTGTGATAAGAGTTAATATTGCAAAGGAATTTAATAAAATAAATAATTTTGCTTGAAAGAGAAGATGGGATTAAATGACACGTGTATTCATTGATTTTCAACAATGAAAGGGGTGTCAGTATTTTACTTTTACATATTATCTACGACCCTCTAGAGTATTGGAAAACTGCGGGAACAGAGTACCAAACTAATCTCCCACTTGTTGCCCAAGATCTCCTCTGCATCCCCGCAACTTCAACTTCCTGTGAAAGGGTTTTTTCACAAACAGGAAACACTGAGATTGATGATTATTGATTCCCACATATTTCATGAAAAATCAGAATCCCCCCCCCCCTCTCTTAAGAAATTTTTCCCCCCCATAGGCTATAGATAGGTATTTTATATAGGCCTGTATTTTGTATACCTACTAAGGTCAACAGTATGGATTAGTAAGTAGGGTGTTTATCACCCCCCCCCATACCTCCACTTAAGCTAATGTTATTACAGCACTTGAGTTTATTTTGAGTTTCTTGAAATTAATCATTTGATCAGTCAAGAATCTCAATGTTATAAAATGTAGGGTTGCTAAGCTCAGGAAATAGAGGCTCATTAGGGAAAGAGGCCCTTGAGGCCAGAATTATTCTGAGAAAAAACTACAACATTATACAGAAAGGTGATGGTCATTTTGAGAGTCCAAGCAAAAGTTTTGACTTCCTTTTTATTTTTTTCACCCATTTTAATTTAGTTTTAAGTTCATTATGCACATTTTTTTTAGCAAAATACTTTAAGTCAAATTTAAACTTTATAATATACTTATTAACATTAAATTGGTGGGGTGGCCTAAGTCTATGCATTGTTTTTTAGGTTCCGAGGGTTGTTTACTGTATTGGCTTTAAACGATTTTTTTTTTGACAAAAAATTATCTTTCATTTTAAATTTGTTTTCTAAATCTTAATTATTAAAAATGTTTTGATAACTTCTTGGGCACAAAATGACCATCTGTTCGTCTTACTTAGTATAATTATTCACAAATATTTGAGATGATCTTGAGAATTTTTGCAAAGTTTAAATGATCCCGAGAATTTCTGTAAAGTTTAAATGATCCCGAAGATTTCTGTAAAGTTTAATGGATCCCAAGGATTTCTGTAAAGTTTAAATGATCCCAAGGATTTCTGTAAAGTATAATGGATCCCAAGGATTTCTGTAAAGTTTAAATGATCCTGAGGATTTCTGTAAAGTTTAAATGAGCCCTAGGATTTCTGTAAGGTTTAAATGATCCCAAGGATTTCTGTAAAGTTTAAATGATCTCGAAGATTTCTGTAAAGTTTAAATGAGCCCAAGGATTTCTGTAAAGTTTTTATGATCCCGAGGATTTCTATTAAGTTTATATGATCCCAAGGATTTCTGTAAAGTTTAAATGATTCCGAGTATTTCTGGAAAGTTTAAATGGTTCCAAGGATTTCTGTAAAGTTTAAATGATCCCGAGGATTTCTGGAAAGTTTAAATGATCCCGAAGATTTCTATAAAGTTTAAATGATTCCAAGGATTTCTGTAAAGTTTAAATGATTCCGAGGATTTCTGTAAAGTTTAAATGATTCCGAGGATTTCTGTAAAGTTTAAATGATCC